ATTACAGTGCTAGCCATTTTTTAAAAATTTACATTTGATTACTTACAGCGATCCATAGATATCTTCTGCTTGATCAAGTAATCGAGACAAACTATTCGTTCGTTTCGAACTTCTCCGTCTTGGAGTGGTTATAGAATTCTGGGACCTGGGAGTGTTACTCGCAGAATCCTCTTCGTCATCTTTTAACGGCAACACACCCATAGAAAAGGGTCTCTTTTTGGGGACCTTCACTTTCGAAGTGTCTCTTTTATCCCCGTTTTTCTGATCTTTTTGCTTATCGCTTTCCGGCATTTTCATTTCAGTAATACCCAAGCTATTATAATTCCAAGTATCACTTTCTAAAACAGTTTAGCTAACACTTTTACTTTTAAAATAGAGGTTATAAGATCTGTATTATACAGAGGCCTATACTTTTAAAATTCCATCAATAGTCCGCCTATGTCCGTTCAGAATTCACAATTTATAAGATCCGTGAAAGTTGTCACACCATTCTAAAGTCTTCATATACGTGACAAGAGATGTGCCATTTTGTTTTCTCTCAACATGTTTACCACATACAGTTTCAAACTACCAAATGTTTTGGATACCAAAAATACATTTGATTGATCCATATTACCTCGTATTAATCGCCTTAAAAATACCCTTACTTCGGGATTATGGATTAACGGTAGGGTCACCATTTTAGATGATTACATGTCATTTCGGTCCCGCGTCATTTCAGACTCCAAAAAATATGGCCTCGACGTTTCGGACTCGGGGAAAAGTTAATAGAATGATAGAACACTGACGTCAAATTACTTTATAATCTATTTTATATAGGACCAGCAGCTGTCAGGCATTTTCGAGAGATGGGTAGAAAACAAGCTAAAAAAAAAAGTCATTTTTCGTACAATCAGGGGCCATAATTCAGGAATATCAAAAGGAACCGAGATCTTTGAGTTACAAACTTACATTTCAAGTTTCAACAAAATCGGATAAAAATTGTGACCTCTATAGGGTCCACAACCTTGATATACCATATTTTTACGCTATTTGAGAACGAAGGGCGGCCATTTTGTCTGTCAGTTTTGGGCCGATTTTCACGAAATTCGAACTCAGTCGTCCTTAAGATCTAACGGTGATATAATAATACGTTTTTTTTTAAATCGGATAAAAATTATGACCTCTATGGGCTCCACAAGCTAAAATCGAGATTTTTCGTACAATCAGGGGCCATAATTCAGGATGTTACGTTCCGATATGCGCGAATATCGAAAGGAAATGAGATCTTTGGATTATAAAATTACATTTCAAGTTTCATCAAAATAGGATTAAAATTGTGACTTCTATAGGGTCCACAACCTTGATATACCATATTTTTACACTATTTGAGAACAAAGGGCGGCCATTTTGTCTGTCAGTTTTGGGTCGATTTACACGAAAATCGAACTCAGTCGTCCTTAGGGTCTAACGGTGATATAACAGTACGTTTTTTTAAATCGGATAAAAATTATTACCTCTATGGGCTCCACAAGCTAAAATCGCGATTTTTCGTACAATCAGGGGCCATAATTCAGGAAGTTACGGTCCAATATGCGCGAATATCGAAAGGAACCGAGATCTTTTGGTTATAATCATACATTTCAAGTTTAAACTAAATCGGATAAAAATTGTGACCTCTGCAGTGTTCACAAGCTAAAAACGTGATTTTTCGTACTATCAGGGGCCATAATCCATGAAGTTACAGTCCGATACATGCCAATATCGAAAGGAACCGAGATCTTAGGGTGATAAACCTATATTTCAAGTTTCATTGAAATCGGATAAAAATTGTGACCTGTAGACTGTTCACAATCAATTGTGGACGGACGTCCAGACGGACAGGGGCGACGACAATATACGTCCACATAAAAATGTAGGCGTATAAAAATTAACAGCGATTTATAACAACGGGCATATTCATTTGATGAAATAATAGCCTCAGTCGGGTATTCATTTATTTTATAAAACATACATTTATTTTATCAAACCTACATTTAGAAACGGGCATATTCCAAGTTTTCTAATTGTATCTGTACACAATCTATACATCAGTATCTGGTATGTCCACCGCGAAAGCCAATAACAGCAGCGCAGCTTCTGTACATGGAGTGGACCAGACGATTGATTTACGCCATTGGCACCTGGAACCACACTCTCAGAAAAGCCTGGTGCACTCCATCGGCTGTATTTGGCCGTGGTACGACTTTATTAAGTCTTCTCTGAATTTCATCCCAAAGATGTTCAATCGGGTTTAAGTCCGGACTAAGGGCTAGCCAGTGCATAACGTTGGCACCGTTCTGCTGTTGAAAGTCCCGAGTAACCCTGGCGGTGGGGGCACGGGCGTTGTCGTGCTGGAATACGTTGTTTCGATGACTTGCGAAAAGGGGTATGACGTGGAGTCTGAGAGCTTGATTGATGTAGTGCACTGCTGTGATGCCGCCTGATCTCCCTGGACCAGGATTTTGGAACACCACAGGACCCACTCTCTGGTTCACGCCGATTCCACCTCAAACCATTATGCTTGGACCTCCCCATGAGTCTCGTTCCATGACACATTGGTCAGAATAACACTGGCCACGACGACGCCATATCCTGGTCCTGCCATCTGCAGTTGATACCGACTCTCATCTGTGAACAGAACAGTTCTCCATTGCCTGTGTCGCCAGTTCTGGTGTTGTTGGGCAAACAAGGGGTGAGGAGGATCGGTCCACGTTAAGGTCTACGACAATGGATGTTCTCTCTGGTGAGACATCGGCGGTACTGATGGGTCTTCCGTGTGTTCCCACTGTCTGACGTGCTGTCTCAGATGCCTGTGTGAAGGGATTCTGCACGCGCTGTCGCACAACATGGCGGTCTTGTCGCCTTGTGATAACCCTTGGTCTACCAGTTCTGGCGCGATCATCTGTGGTGTTGGTGGCCCGAAAGCGTTGCTGAAGCCTGTAGATGGTCCGAACATTGACCTGGAAGTGGTTGACAACGGCATGGGCAGTGTGGCCAGTGTCGAGTCTTTGAAGCGCCTGGTTCCCCTGTACTGTCGTGAGTCGTGGCATGCTGCTGACGTTGTAGTGTGAATGATTCAACCAGGTATAGGGGTGCATTTTATAGGGCTAGTCCCGGTGAACAGCACGTGCAGCATGAGTTACATGAAAATCACGGAGAACACATTACCATCTCAGAAGTCAGGTTGCGTTTTTGAGAACATTTCTTGGGTTCAATTTGTGTTTGGGAAGGAGCCTTATTGCTCACATTTGGCAAGTTTTATGCAATGCGTCTATTCAGAGTAACATACCATCATGATGTTTCTTTTGCTGCTTAGTACACTTAACAATAATTTTGTACTTACAGGGGAAGACTTGTCCACTGGGTCATTAATGCCTTTTATATAACTTTGGATTTTTAAATATCGGTATTTAGCTCTTCGAAACATCGCTCAAATAGACTATATGATAAACTCTTTTCCATAAGTAGTCCATGTGATAAAGTGTTTTTTTCGATCACCTAGATTTAAAGACCTGTGTTTGTGTTAATGCAGTAGACTAGTAATTAATACCTATAATTAATCTCTCTCTATACCCTTATGATATTTGAGAGGCAAAAAGACACATGTCAAAGGTATTGACTCTGGACTGGAGCTTTCTACAAATTTTCTGCCTGTGACATATTTTACATATACTGTTCGACAGTTAAATAACTTACATATACATTCTTGCAAAGATTCAAAACTTGGGCGACTTATATATCTAAAGTTGTATGGGAAAACTAATAATTTTATTACAAATAACAAGATGTTTCCATTTAAACAAATAACTCATGAGATGAGTATAAATGTAATAGGATAAATACTATAAATGATACCTTTTACAATGACAAAGTAAACATTAACCTCAAAGTCAAATAAAGTTCTACAATAATGTAAAGACCAAACTTAATATCACCCAATCTAAATTACCAGTACCATTATTATAAATTCTGATTGTTTCCTTCAATATCAATAAATAACTAAAACAGAAATTATAAACAGATTTGCCGTAACAATGAATCATGAATCATACATCCATCACCATCTATCCTTAATATAACTATAAATTTATAAAGAACAAGGTATTTCAATGTCTATTCCCAATAGACAGATTTGTGACTTTTTTGTATCACTGCTATTCCCAGACTAGGTATATTTCGTCTTTTTAGGTCTTTTTTTCTAACAACATCCTATGATAATTATTAACAGTAGAGTTAACAAATTGTGAAAGACAAAATATAAATCTGTGTATAAAATGAATGGCATATTTTTCATCACACCACAACCAAGTCTGTTATAATTTTGTTTGAACCAAGAAATTAAATAAACCCATAACAAAGCAAAACATATTCAAAATTCAACATTTGAGATCCCACACTGTAAAATGGAATTGTAAAAGTGAAACAAACAAAGCCCAATGTATTATACTTCCAATGAATCAACACTAATTTCAAGTCTTATTTTTACACCCACCATGAACTTTGTACAATAATTCAATGGGCTTATCTTAATACATATATTTGACATAGCCAAATCATGTAAATTACAATACAATTTGTATCTGAAACAATCAGTATCTGCAATGATTAATAAGGCATTATGTAGATATTTCTTGATATGACAAGCTCATAATTAACTCTATATAGACAACCGGGTGCCTTAAATATTCAGGGGATATTAGAAAATTCCCGCCATATCTCTGTTAATTGTTAATATGGCCAGAAACTGCCGATAATAGAACTGACAATCGAGACTTTGTATATTATCAAGGAAATGGAACTTGACAATTGAGAATATGAACTGTGGGCAAAGTTCCCATCTGCCAATTATGATTATTTCTTGCCAAACTTCAAAAATTGGTAACTTTGCTTAGATTAAAATAATTTGACTGAAATTTTCAATACATTCATTTTTCATTAACCTTTTTTGAACTATTATAGCAATAACGACCAGCTCTAAATCTTGCATAAGGTATCTTTAATTCCTTAATACCAAAATATAAAATTTCCAGTCATTATTTCATTAATATGTTTTATCAGTCAATCCACCATGGTCCCACTTTGCTCTCCATTCATCAGCACACAGAAGAGCTGTCTTAGTTTCCCAATTTTCAGATTTTAAAATATCGATAAAACCTGTAAAAGTTTTTTGAGTAAACACCTGAGAGTATTGTAAAATCTTTAAAACATCACCTGAAGTATAAAGAAAATTAAAACATGAAGATTTATTACAGAAACAACATTTTAATGTTTTATTAAAACATTAGTTATTTAGAGCAAAGTTCATTTCATTCTCTCAATAAATACAATTCTAACACTCTGATAAAACGCTGCATTGGCTTCACATTTATTTACTTTTGTATTCCAAGTATAGATATTTTAATAGAAATTAGAATACAACTTACTTTCATTAAATCCATCAATAATGGAATTTAATTCAATTTGATGGTTGTTTTTTATAGAATGTCTGTGATTATATGTTATTTCTATAACTTCTGCTTGATAACATGCCTCTAACTCATCTAATGTTGTACAATTCTCATTTAATACTATATTAGTACATCCTATAATATAAAAACAAAGTTTGGTTCCCTTGATTAACAACATGGTACACATCAAATAGGTAGTATAACGGCTGTAAATGTTATTTTTATCTGGAAATGCTTTTTTTGTCCCCAAAAATTGCATCTCGGAACACAGTGATTGCTCCTTTAACTTATATTACGCCATACTTCATGTTTTGTTGCCTGGCAAAGCTGTGTTAGATGACATGTGGTGGTAATAAGACTTACTTGTATTAAGATTTAATCCTATCATATAGTGTTTATTCTGAAACAACTTTTCCATAATCTCAACATCTTTAGGTCTGTAACAAAAATTGGATGTAAAATGTAATTCATTTTAACCGTCTATAATCAGAACCATGAGTATATTTCTACATCCTTAAGAGGTCAGTTAGCCATTATACAAGTTTTTTCAAGCTATATTAATTTTATTTCACACAACTATACCCTCTTCCCACTACCCTACTTCAGCCTGATAATCATCAGAATACAAAGATAAAATGATAAATGGTAAATGCCCATCATCGAATTCAGTCAAGCCATTCACCTAATAAATACCTACACCAAGTTTAAACATTCTATCTCAGTTATTGGGCTCCAAACAAGAAGTGTGATGGACAGACAGACAAATCCATTTTAATTTTAAGAATCTCCTCTGGTGGGAGACAACAATAACGTGCAAACAATTATATCAAACTCTGAACTAATTAAGTTAACTTCCACTATTTGCTACTTACGTTTTACATATTTTTTGAACTGAAACTCCTAAACTGATTCTGAATTTTCTCCTTGTACCTGGAAAAAAAAGTCCTTGGTAAACGAAGTGCTTGAAATAAAAACTGTAAGGAACAAAACAAATTAGTTATTGAAACAGCCAATCTGTGCTACTTATGAACGCAATCTGATTAAAATACAGATCTATATTTCGTTTTGTTTTTATACTTTCGATGGAGGCCGTTGTAGTGGGAGGTCATATCGGGGGTCAAACAAGCAGCTATTGACCCTATGACGTTAGACATTTGATTAACCAACCAGCATTGATGTTTCAAGTTGGTATTTGGAAATACAACTTTTGCTTTGTAAATGTCTACCCACAGTTCAATGCATCGCACACGAAGAACTCACCACAACAGACACTTTCATTGGCTAATCCTTCACATCAACCAGAATGTGGGTTATATACCAACTCTTCCAGATCCTAGTGTAGTGAAGGCAAGTAAAACAAAATTTTGAAGTATAAAAAACAAAATGAAATAGGATCTGTGTTTTAATCAGATTGATATGAACATACAGTGATATAAGTTTGGTCAACATTAGATACTACCCTACAAAAATACTTTCCACTTACTCCATAATACAGGTTCTTGATAGTTTATTACTTTTGTATTTTCAATCAAACCATTACATAGATAACCCTTGACTAAAAGATGGAGTCTAGCTTGATTTAATGTTTCCATGACAACTGATGTTACTGCTGAATAGTTGGCAAATAGATGTAGCATTGTAAACAGTATGTATAATGTCCAAATCAGTCTGAAATTACAAGGCGACAATATAAAATCGCAAAACAAAATTAAAGTAGAAATATCTCTGTTTTTTGTTCTTTTCTGATTGTACTGGTATGCAAAATGTGGGATAAATTTGCCAAGCTATTGATCGCTGAGATACACGTTATAATTCTTTGGTGGTTTCACAGAGACTGGTGAATGCTTGGAAAAAATACTTTACTCTACACAGGACAGTGCTTGGACTTTAAATAATTAGGCAGTCTACCGTTATTTTGAATATGATTTCATTCAAAATTATTTACATTTATTTTATTGCTGAGGGAGATAATGCCTCTTTTCATAAATATGATATTTGAATTCTGTTGGAATTAAATTTTTGAAAACCAAATACCTACGTATCCTTTCCTGTTAAAACTGGTACTATAATCAAACTGCAAATCAAAGCAGCTAAATTAACTAGAGTTTCTTGGCTACCATCTTTAGCAGATACATCAGCCATGTTATTTCTGCGAGCCTGGTGTTGTGTTAATGCAGCCCTGGTGGCCCCGCCTGCTACACCTACAATTGACTGAAAAGTACAGCAATAAAATAATGCTAATATACTAGTACATTAAGTTAAAATCTAAATAATATCAGTTCAGTGTTGGATACTAGTATGTATTCAATTTTGGCCACAGTTTTAATTATTACAATATTTATTAAGAGTCTTAATTGCCTCTTTCTTTTAAAATTTTTATATTTGTGGACAATTCCCTACCTTATATGAGTGATACAAAAGTACAAAGAATACTGTACAATCCCAAAACAAATGAGAATTGATATCAGAAGTGATATGTGAAAAAAATTGCAATATAATTTAGTTTTATTATCAAAATAAGATTTCTGGTGTTATGGCCCAATTAATGTCAAAGACAAATTTTTATACTGTTTTCCCCCTTGCCAGTGGTGCAAAAAGGGTGTCTAGAAAGTTGTATAGTTGTTCGGGTGTGACTAAAACATGAGGTCCTGTGTACACATGGGTTTGCACGTAAAAGAACCCTTGACAGTTGGATTTCAAAATGAGATTAAGTCTGTAGCTCCCCTATTCGGGCATATTCTCCTTAATAGCCCACTGCATGACATATGCCCGTCTTTCTTAGCCCAATTAGTGCTGGAAAGTAGGTTGTTACATGTATGCTGTTCACATTAAAGTCTTATTTTTAATAGTCAAGTGTTTCTGAGTTTGAAAAAATGAGTTTTAAAGATTATCTTACCTTACAAACACCGGCTGTACAAACTATTGGAGTGAAAATAGGTGTAAAATTGGGTGCTAATATTTCTAAGAAAATTGCAAAATCATTTAAAATATCTGCAAATAATCTCCATCTCTTAGCATCACAATCAAGATTACTCCTGAAAAATGTATAAATGAAATGAAATGGGGTTTAACGTCCTACTGTTCTGCTCCTAACCTGGACTAATGAAGACGGGCATATGCCATACAGTGTGCTATGAGGGAAATTTTGCCCGGACAGCGGCGCTACAGCCTACTCTTATATCGAATTCCAACTGCCAAGGGATCTTTTAGGGGCACGCCAATGTGTACATGGGACCTCAGTTTTTCGTCCCATCCGAATGACTAGACAGCTGTCCTTGTCAGGCTCTCCGTCCTGCATCACTAATAAGGGGGGAAAAATGTATAAAGTATAGAATTTTACCTCTAGTTCTAAACAGAAAGATTCATAAATATATAATCGAATTGTACAGTTTTATTAACCATTAACCAAAACTAAAACTGAGCTTTCAACGAAACTTACATATACATAATATTGTTAGGTTTCTAAACAACAGCAGCTAAGCCTTACCTTATATTGTGTACGACTGATAGTTTCAAGACAACAACTTACCCCTTCAGCCAAGCAAATACAATTCTTCCAAGCATGCCTGTTCCATCTGAATAAGAATGTGTGTGTTAGTTAGTTCCGCTGATTTAGAATCGAAATCACTATAGTACTCCAGAAATATAAGCACAAAATAAAAAATTGAAACTGACTGTTTTGTTTTATACATTCATTCATTAAGTTTTAGAAGAAAACTGTCCAAAGATTCATTTTGAATGACTGTGTTTATCCATATAAATTCTCAGTAAATTTAGTGATTTATTTAATCATAAACCTTTTAAAAGCCATGTCATGGTAGCTGCTAGTACTGTAGCATTTTCATCTCCTACACCAATACCTTTTAATAATGCCTGTGCAGCCAAGGTTCCAGTTATACTGCTAGCAAAAGCCTAAAAATACAAATTGTACAATATTGTGTGCTTTTAGTTTAAAACCTTCATATGGACAGTAAAAGTATAATAAATATCATGGGTAATAACACAGTAGCATTTACTTTTTCCTTTCATCTGGCATAATTATATTCTCTCATTTATTGTTTGTAGTTAAATTTCTATTCTATTTACCTGAATGGTGTCCCATAGCTGATATATTAAATAATCTTCACTAACACTTTCAGGATAACCCTGAGGAAGAAACACTGACTGAAATATAAATATAATAGTTTTATTTATTCACTAGGTTATGATTTTGATTGTCATTCATATGATTTTTGTATGATTGCTAACTAATCATATTTTGAATTGGCATGGGCTCACTGTATAATATGTTAGCGAATCACAATTTGACATGTTTTTTGGATTCTTACACTATATACAACCATTGGGTGCCTGCTGTAACAAGAAAATGGTAGACAGATTCTGAGAAATTCCTCCAAAATCACAATTTCTTGTGTACAAAAACTCTATATTAGAGAACCTTTATTTATCCCATTCTAAATCAACACTTAGCTTTAACTTATCAGAGCTCTAACCCTTGATCACTACACATACAGGCTATTGGCACTTTTGTACACCTAGCACTTTCCATGGTCATGGAGTCTTGAAATTTACCGAGGAAGAATAATAATGGCTAGAAACCAAATATCAGCCGAATAAGTCAATAGGGCCTAACTTTTTTTTATTTTATAGTCCATTCAGTTTTGTTCTAATGTTTATGACCTGAAACATCAGCCATGATGATTATTTAGTACACAGTCTGTGAATCTGACATCTTCCATTTATAAAGATGGCACAGATAGGTGACATAGTATCAGTATGTGTACAAAAGTTCAATTATATCTCCGATGATTGAATAATCAGTGCAGTTAAGGCAGAACATATATTTTATATTATTATGAAAGCAATGTATACATGATACACTCGTGTTGTCATGTGGTCCATATATTGATCGAGCCAAGACATCAATCAAATGGGGGGTTGGGATGACCTAGTGGTCTAGAGTGTCACCGGTTGGCCGGTCACCTCTGGCTTGCAGTTGTGGTTTCGATCCCTGGTGTGAGCGTATGTGCGGCTTGGAGATAGGGGTGCCTTCTCAACCTCGTGGGTTTACTCTGGGTACTCTGGTTTCCACCAACAGCAAAGACCCCTAGCACTTGCGCTAAGATGATCATTAAAATGAAAAATAAAGACAACTTGTCTGCGATATCACCTTCGGTGGAAGCGGACGTTAAACCCTAAGAAGAAGAACATCAATCAAGAAATAAATCAGGCCTACCCTGAAAAATTGTGAGATTGATGTAAATTTCGGAGATTTATCAATTACTGTCAAGGAACCATCTGATGATTGATAGTATTCTTTGACCTCTGGCGACGATCCATAACTTTCTCGATAAATAAACCTGCTCATAATGCTGTCTGTTAGTGCAAGTATATTACGAGAAAATCATAACAAATAAAATCTAATTCATGGGCGCTGACATCTTGTTTACCGGTTCATGCGCAGTGCAACATTCTGGAAAAGGAAGAAATTTGATTGGTTAAAGCGACCGGAAACAGGTTCAAAAACACAGCTAGCGCGACTGCAAGAAGAGGAAATGTTTATTTTGTAATTTCCTTGTCGGATTTCATTAATTCAAGACAAAAGAAGTTCGATTTTGTGTAGGTGAAATAGCCATGTTTTCGAGCAGTTGACAGTCATGAAAGTGTTCGAATAGATTTTGAAAATTTTGGCCTTAAAAAATGATTCTCTTTTGACACCAAAATAATTGAAAATTGGGTCTAGTCTAGCTAGGCTAGGCTATATTTCTAGCCTAAGACTTAGCCTAAGTATAATTTATAGGCCTAAAGTATAATAGAATAATATTTTAAGTGTAGATCTACTGTGTCTCGTACTCAAGTCTATTCATTTACTTCTTATTGGCTTAAAGTACCCATAGCCAAGTCTGTAAAGGAGCTAATATTTGGGACCCAGAAATTGACACAAATGATGGGTCGCAACACGTCATTTATCGCACATGTAATCATCATGTATGTATATAAATTATAATACCTGTATATGAATGTCAATCGTTTCCGTTTTCATTCTAATTTCAAATCAGTTGTGTTCGGCGAAATACACCAGGCAGAAGTCTCCATGGCAATCTCTAGCATCTGGTTATTCCAGTCTACACCGATACCCGGTAGTTAATTTATGTGCAAGTAATTAGCAAAGGCTGAATAACAAACGATAAAATAATAAAACTGACACAGTTATATGGGACAACAATCACTTGTTTATTTAAATTTATTTTACACAAGCACGTTTCGATATAAATAAGTACAGTCTTCGACATTGCAATAAACAACTTATGGTCAGTTTAAATAAACATTGTCATGTAATACCGAGAAAAGATGGGCTTCTGTTATCCAATCTTTACGACACAATGATGAAAATTTTAAACTTGGCACACAAATCGCATGCCAGAATGCTTCCGAGCACCATTATGAAGTGACTGGATGAACGAGGCTAAACATATCCTACAAGTACAGGATCCTACAAGTACAGGAAGACTACCAGTGTAGACTTGAATAACTAGATAATTAGAAATTTAAGTTAAAACAGAAACGATTGAATGTAAATCAGTTCATATACATTCATTTGTGTCCATTTCTAGGTGCCAAATATTATCGTTGTCCTCAATTTTTGGTAACAGTCTCACCACAATTATTTTATTCCCGAAAGCTTTCTTTTATATATTATACTTCTTGCCTGTAGCTGTAATACATTTTATTTTTTTATGCGTTGTTTTGTGTACCGTACCCTGATTTTTAATTAATCATAAATGAAATGTATCAAAATCTTTGAAAATGACACCCAGAGACCTATTATTGTAAAATTGATCATTAGATTCACCTTATTATCAAAAGTCGGCACTAACTGACCGACTACTAGTAGCCTACACTGCAGAGTTATTCAAGTGTTTGTAAAATGGTTTCAGTATTGTAAATATTGTACTGCTTCAAATACAACATCATATATTATATCTCAGTGTTAGCTTGACAGATTTGTCTCAAATATTGCATAAGATTCTCACTTGTAGTGTGGAATTTAAATTTAGAACGCTACTGAGTACTGACCGACCATGTGGCCTACGTGCTTCATTGAGGAGCATACATGTATAAATTGTGGCTAGGCTATGTAATGGAATCCAAAATGTTGTCCTACATGTATGCCCAATTTGATAGCCCTAAAGATTTTATTTTATAAATTTAAGATGGTTTCATTCTGTATAGCCTTCCTCCAATGTAAAAATTGACCCAGTTCTAAAGTCATATCTTTCAATTTTTTCTTGTTGATCAAAGGTGTCTTTTTACATGTACATTGCAATGTAAAACATGTATATTAAAGTTTAATATTTTCCAAGGTGCTCTGAATACAATTGAGTAGGTTTAGTTTAGTTTTAGATCCAAGCCAAAGCAATCAAAAAATTTTAAATATATATTTTTTTTTTTCAGTTAGTCCGCCAAGATGGAGAAAAAAAAGAGAAGACGATCCATTCGAAATTTACGGCGACAGTCCATTAATTCTTTTAATAATGAAGGAGGTCTAAATGATACTTCAGTGATTGATGACAGTACATTATTTAATGGCAGTGGCTTAACAGACAGTGGAAATATTTTTGGAACTGTTTGGATGGATACTCAAGAGGAAAGTTTGAAAGAACAGCGCAAGAAAAGGCGGTCAAGTATTCTACTACAGAAGCCACTTCTTAAATTGGACACAAGTTCCCTTGAACTCGAAACGATGCGGGCGGATATCACCACTGAAAAATCACCTACAATTTTAACTGTCAGTCCTGATTTAATGAAATTCACTGACAACAAACAACAATCACCTCTCATAACCCCTGACCAAAGCTTTAATAATAATCTAAATATGGCATTTGTGGGCGATTTCACAACGCCAGTATTATGCCAATTAAACACTTCAACTAAGAAAGTTTATCCAGTCACACCAGATGTTGACGAAGATATTTTAGCTGATTCACCGTATTCTGTTTTTTCTCCATATGCAACTCCTGTTACTAGTCAAAAAATTTTGTGTACTGCAGAAAATTTGACACCTTCAAGTAGTTGGACAATTAATGAAAATGTATCTCCAAATTGTTTTATAACTTCAAACCCAAATACTCCTTATTTAGAAACTTCTGATGCCTTAACTAAAACTACGGAAAGCATAGACAATTATATGAATTTAACAAATGATGAACCAGCAGATATCACTTTGAATAATTCTTATGAAAACAACTCATACGAAGAACATAATAATTTGTCAGTTAACAAGCTCATTAGTAAGATTAATCCTGATAACTTTAATAATAGTCCAAGCAATGCTACTAATCCCAGCCACTTATCATACCAATTAGACAAGCTGAACACAGAAACTCCCACAAGTGACCCAGTGTTGACACCAATCAATGAAGACAAATGCCACAATTTGAGTTTATCATCAAACCAAGCAATAGATGAAACAAACTATCAAATTGAACAAGACAGCAGTAAGGAAACAGAAGAAAACACTGAATCTAAAAAACTAATATCACCTTCAAGTATATCAGAAAGTTTGGATAACATTGCTTCAGGTGCTATGGGGTTATTCAACACTTTAGTCCGCAAGATTTCAATCAGACGTGGTAAAAGTCAGAAGAAAACACTGAAACGATTGAAAGCAGATAAAAATTTGGAAGGAAAAACTACTGATATCGGCAATAATGAACAGGCTGAGAAAAATCCTGTTAATGTCGAACAAAAAGTGGAAACCAATTCTAATGATTTCAGCTGTACTGCACCTGTAAATCATGGAGGAGAAACCTTTGATACAAAGCAAACGATGGAAGTGGATGAGAAACATGACAATTCGACAAATGTTTTTAACAACTGTGTAGCAATATCTCCAGTGATATTACCTGACTCGGATACCTATCCCAGTCAAAATGTAGATATGATCGATTGTGAATTAGACAATTTCAATATGACAAGTTTAGCAGAGAGTATAGATTCTCAAAAAGAAAATGAAATGAAAAATAAAAGAAGATCGCGGCGCCAAACAGCTGAATATTACATCAGCGCCGAGAGTGGTAACAGTGCAAATGAAGAGACTGGAAGCTCTGACAATACCGCTGAGGAATCGAATGTGCGGAAATCAAAGCGAACAAGGAGGAAATCTCTTGATATTTATCAAGCTGGTCAAATATATGAAGAAGAAGAACCACCCCAGAAATTTTTCATTTCAAGGTTTGTCAAATACAATCGCCCCAAGAAGCCAGTTACAGAAAACCTTGAAGATCTTTACATGAACAAGAATTATAAAGCACCATTAGAAAAGACATGGGAGACAATATATGAATCACCTGGTAAATCAAAGCAACCGTGTCAGCTGATCAGTAAAAAGAGGTTTAGACGAGTTGTTGATTTTGATGGTTTCGTTCCAACAAAGTATAAAAGAAGGCTACAGAAAGCCTCAAATAATGGTTGGGATGTAACTGGCAAAAAGAACAATACACTAACTGATGATTTTGTGCAAAATAAACTTTCCGAACTTTATAATTATTTAGATTCCTCATTTGAAACGTGACATATTTCTTAATGTTTTAAACATGTTGTATGGTTTTAGTATTACATAATGTGTTCATGTGAAAGGTAAAAACTGTAGTATTCTTTCAACATGTACATTTTTTACGTATAAATCGACCGCTCGGACGATTTAGCTGCTGTTGGCGTATGTTTTGTTGCCTGGCAACCTATCTTTAGAACCCTCAAACGACAAAAATTATAATGTCATCTGTATGAAATTGTCTATTAAATTCCCCTAATTACCTACAAAAGAATAAATATGCGACAGCCCTTGTCGACTGCTCGGACGATTTAGCTGGTGTGAGCGTATGTTTTGTATTATGATTTGTATTTTAAACTGTACCCTGAAGTTCTCATTAGAATTAGTCCACATTTCTGATGTCTGGATAAGTTAATTAATGTCTAATTAATAATTTAGATAACATTTCAGACCTAAAGAAAGACCTGCAATAGGCATATTTAGCTCTTGCATAATGTATGTTTAACCTTTCAAACAAGTAAACATTTTTTTACATGTAAAACTTGGAACTAATTTTCTGTCTTTGCCAGCTTGTTTACTAATTGAAATATTTTTGATGTTTTTAGCCTTAAACAAACTACAACGACTATTCTTTACTTCCCATAGTTAAAGATTACTCTCTTGTAATTTGTAAGCAAGTGACAGTATTACAGGTAGAGATGGGCTGAGGTGATTGTTTGAAGGGGTTCAATCACAGACAACCCAAGTTCAAATTTACGATGTGTGTTCAGATTTTAGGTATATAAAACCTTTGGAAGAACGTTTTTGTTGGTTAAGAACCATGACTTTATTATAATATGAATGTTACTAAACTGCATACCGGTACAGTATATATTTGTCCTAGATTTTTAATATCTCTACTTGATGAGGAATAAACTTGAAACTTAAAGGTGCATTATGTAAGAGATAAATCTGCCTATTGCATGTCTTTCTTTAGGCCTTACAGGTTGTTATATAAATTATTAATTAGACATTTATTAATTTGCCAAGACCATAATCAACTCTCAATGCCATTGGATACTCTAGATTTTCAATGGATTTAAACACAATTGGCACAGAGTCTGCCTGTTGCAGGTCTTTCATTAGGCCTTAAATGCTGTTATATAAATTATTAGACATTTATTAATTTACCAAGTCCATAATCAACTCTTTATCTAAATCTTACATAATGCATCTTTAATATTCCCAAATAAAATGGTTTCACATTGCAGTAGCCATTAACCTTTTTGATCCTACTCAAATTTTACTCAAATATTTATAATCATTTTAAATAACTCTCTGTATTCTTTTTGGAACATCTATGGAGAGTTACCAGTTAGGGTAATCCTAAAGTTGAGTAACACAAAATATAATTGTTATATAATGTAATCTTTTATTATTCAAAATATACATAAGTCTTTGTTAGTGATGCATTTTAATATTGAAGACATAATGAATACTTGTACAAATCAGTGCTGAAATTGTTTATAAAAAAAAAATAATTTAGATCTGTTTGTTTTTGTTTGTTACTTTCTATCTAGAACATTAGTAATTGCAACCAGTTCAATGTGAAGTAATAATGTGAGGTAAAACACAGGCTCTACTCATTGAAATGAGTTAATATCTGTCTTTGATCATTAAGGGGAGCTGCGGTGGCTCAGTAAGTATGACGTTTGGTTGCTATCCTGGAGGTCTCGTGTTCGATCGGGAATTTCCAGCATAGTTCCCCAATGTCAGTGGTGCAGTATAGAGGGCCCGGTAAGGTTCTGTGTACACATTGGCATGCACATAAAAGATCTTTTGGATGCGATATAGGAATAGGCCGTAGTGCTGCTGTCAGGACAAAATTTCCCTCATAGCACACTGAGTCAAAGAAGAACAGTAGGCCATTAAACCTTATTTCATTTTGACCGTTAAATATGCAAATCAAATGCCGAGTTGTGGAATGAATGGCTGATTCCCATCACAAACGAACTGTACCCCCAAAACATAATGGAAGAGCGTGGTGATTAGATCTTGCTAGCAAGCATGGGGTAAAAACTAACCTATTTATCTTGTCTGAAATGTTAAACTCAATATTTGAGTAATAACATACACATAACACCAAAGAATAAAGACCTGTGTTTATGTACTGTGAATGACGAAAAAAATTTCTCACTATGTTCAGATTATAGATGTGGTTATACAGACAATATTACAGGTGTTGAGTTGAGCTTGTATTTCTTCATTAACCTATCACAAAGTTTCAGATAGTTGACTGGGGCTAGGATAAATGTTGTTAAGAGTCTTTCACAAAGAATTTAAGAGCTTTACTAAATAAAATATATCTAGTACAGTTCGTTTAACATCTGAAGAACTTCAACCATACATGTAGCTATGATGCCTTGTTTACCATCATTTGGCGAAATGTAAAGTTAATCCTTACATTGATGAGTTTTTTACGCGTAGGTAGAGAATGGTACCAGAATGAGTTAGTTGGATGCTTCATCATTAGAAGACTACCATGCTGTAGTTCTAACTTCACAGTAGGAATGTCTCTCGTGGCATTCTTTCCTCGACTATCTTGATGTTTGAAAATAAAATCACGTGCCTGTCCCAAACTCAGTGAAGCTATTGGATGACCAAAAACTAAATCCTTCTCATCATCTTTATGTTCTCCTATATGATCATGACCATCTTTGTATCTGAAAAAATTCAATTATTTTTATCACAAGAAAAGGGCTGTCTTTAAAGTTTTTAGTTGTATTAGATGGCAGATCTTTACCTTGTCTGAAAACTTTAAATGGAATTTTATTCTTCAATTGTATGATTGGCGTGATAATCACAAAAATAACTATTATAGCTTTAGGATATAGATTTCAAACATTATTTCATCCCAAACCAAATTAACCAGTTGTTTTGACTGAAATATATCTGGGACTGCTAGTAAACACAACACTGGCGTATAATTACGAGCGTAAATTTTGATTTTATATCTGGCATAGAAGACTTTCATACAGGTGGGCATATTATAACTGATCCCCCTGGAATATGAACACAAATATGATTTTGGTGGTGTACTATTGTTTAAATTACTAGCTCAGTGAAAAATATCATTTTACCTGTTTACAAGGACAAAGTTGAATGTATATCCTGTAGCTTTAATGATATCATCTTTTATTTTCTGTACAAGTGGCATCCATGGTTGTGCTGACACTGTCTTTCCAGAAAATCTATAGGATAAGCCTTCATCTCCAAAAGCAACCTTAAAAACAAAATTACTACTATATACCAATGTAAAAGTCATGATGTTTTGTTCTAAAACTAAAAATCTAATTGCATTAAAATTTGAAAAGGGCACAAGAGTAAACCAAGTATAAAAATATATATACTGTGAAATAAGTATAACAAATTATTTCATATTCTTTACACCCTTGTCTCAATTTATGATTTCCAATTATTTATCAGGCCCCGAGTTCACAAAGCATTCTCAGACTTAAGTTAAGAATTTACTTAACTTTCAATCACTGTTTATGAGAAATATCTTTGGTCTAGAAACACAAGGCTTTGCACATAGTTTCTTATTGATGTATTTGATATATTAAAACAACAAAAGGTTTATAAAGGGCTATATTTTAGTTAAAATAAGGCCACAAATTTTGAGTAAATTCTTAACTTAAGTCTGAGAATGCTTTGTGAACTCGGGGCCAGCTGTCTAGTCGTTCAGATGGTATAAAAAACTGAGGTCCTGTGTACACATTGGCAGTTGGAATTCGATATAAGGGGTGCCAGTTAACTTGTCCACAAGCAGACTTGTCGACAGCCTTTGGTTAAGCCGTGGGCCATAGTGCCGCTGTCCGGGCAAAATTTCACTCATAGCACGTGCCTGTCTTCATTAGCCCAGTTAGAGCAGAACAGTAGGACATTAAACCCCATTTCATTATTTATCACGGCTATACACTTTAGAATCTGTCCATATCATAACATACGTGATCATCTGGGTTATATTTGCAAATCCTTGAATATATTTTCAGAAAAGGTAACTGACAAGTAAAAGCACTAGGAAACAGTGCTGCATTAGGCCTATATTTTTAGTTATAGGGACATTCATGCGTTTCAATCAATAATGTAGGATTGACATTATGCCTATGGCATTATAAGGCTACCTGTTTTCGAGCAATCTCCATCCATTTTCCATACAAATGAACACGAGCCATTTGTCCTTCATTATAAATTAGTATTTTTTCACATTCTGCCAACAATTCGTCTGCTTGGTGTTTACTGTAGAAAACTGTGTAATCACAACACAGATTTTCGCGTCGGATTTCCTTCCATAAAATTGAATGACCGGTTCCTTGATCAGTTTCTGTTGAATCATCCTTCGATTTTTTGGTGACATGTTCTGAATTGTATTCCGTACTTTGTTCGCCTATTCGTCTCTTCTTTTTAACAACAAACGAGTCCATTACATTTGTTTATGGGGAATTATATCTTGCATAATAAAATGAAATTCAAAGTTGTTTACCATGCGATAACATTAGAGTTACTTCCCTTTACTAAAAATCAACCCATTCCATCCTGCAATTCCGAAAGCCACCATTTGATCACACTGATTAATAGCATGCCCTAATATTAATATATTTCCATGATTAGCAATAAAGTAGATACAAATACATTATTAAGTGTCCAATGTAGGCATATGAAGACCAGGAATGTTATAATTGTCTTTAGCACGAAGACTAAAGGGCAGGCAACTCGGTATTAATTTCCCTTGTTTGGAGGCAGACTATCATAGATTTTCTGATTCTTTAATGTTGATCCTTCCCAGTTTTGCCAATCTACCACAACCGATATGAACAACATCTGGGGTGAATTCACTATTAATGTTAATCCTTGTCACTTTACCTGGCTTTCTTAAACTTTTCTCCACAAATTGGAAGCAGGGGTGGATGCACACTGATCAGAAGTGAATATTCGCTAGGCCGCTACAATCACTGATAAGGATGACATCGATGTGACTTAATGAGCCACAAATATTAACTTTTTTCCTCCGAAAAATTAAATTCTAAAACATTTTTTTTATGTATAAGAAAAAGAAATAAAGCCATTTGAAGTATTTGTAGGTAAAAAATATTTCCTATTTAGTGTAAATGGGTATTAAATTAATGAGTAAAAGGCACCATTCTGCCCGGATCAGTAACGTCTTATGTAAACATGCTCGTGCCAGTGAGCCAATGATTGACGTCGCGTGACGTGACCTCTTGTGTTGAAGGCAGTCATCTTTTACAGAGATATTAGAAGACTTTTGTAATCCTCTGTGAAACAGATTGGGGTGGATGGTCGAATGGTTAGCGCATGCACGCTCTGTCATAAGGTCTGTCATTGAGTCAACTGGCGTGGTTTCGATTCCCCGATTGTACGTGACAAGGAGTAGGGTCGCCTGTCCAACCTCTGGACCCTTCGGTTCCCCCCCCCCCCCCACTGCTAAAGACCCCTATGAGCAAGCGAATTATTGAAAAAAAGAATTGAACCATATGTTAGTCCTAAAATGACCTAGTTTGTGTCGAGTGGACCTTAAACCCCATTTCTCTCTCTCTCTATTACAAATCGAAGTAACATACCGCTACATGTAACTACAAGATGTATGTATCGCTATAACCTACCTGTTAAGTATCCCCCGATCCTAAATCATGAATATTATCCAAACCTGTCAGAAAATGCTAATTTAAACCTTTCTTCTGTTCTAGACCACAAATTGAAACAAATGACCATTCAAAAGGTGAAGAAATGGAGAGAGAGAGAAAAACTGTAAGTAGAAGTAGCAAACTTCGTGGGTACACCAGGGTATTTATTAAAAGAAAGTAATTGATGGTCTGTCATCTATAAAAGTATTAAGATTTCCTTTTAAACAAGATAGGATTTTTTTTCTTAGCTTCCCATACCTAGAAACATATGTATAAAACCATGTCAAAATAAAAAAAACAAACTATTGCAGCTTTCAGAAGACAGTTACACCTCAAATCCATGGGCCTTTTTTTGTAGTAATTAAGATTTGAGGAGTTTCAAACAAGTCTGATCAAATATACTCAAAGGATTGGAATGCTTTTCAAAAAGTATCCTTTTTTACCATTTTGTTCAGACAGTTTGATTTTTTACACTCCGAATTTCTCAAAATGGCAACAATTTTCTGTTCATTAGTAAGTCTGCAATGCAAGTCATAACAAATATTTTTAAAGCAGTCTCTCCAAACAATCTTGGCCATTATCCAGCATTAAATGCCAAAGAGGTGTGCTTGGTGATCAATTTTGACTCAAAGTTCTGAAGCAAATGTTTTCCCCATATCAACCATATATGGCCATGGGAGAGTCAATCATGAAGTCTACTACTGCCTACAAGTATTCAATCAATTACGGATTTGCGTTTTTAAATACTGGACAACTAAGTTATAATCCATTTATACCAACTAAGTTACAATCCATTTATACCCCTCTTTTATGTAAAGAATCAGTAAATTATCTTGTCAATACTGCCAGACTAGCAGGTGTACAGACAATTTCATGTTATATGAGGTAAAGCTTAAATGACTATCGACATAATTAAATGGTACAGTTCTATCAATACCCTACGGTATAAAACTCATATAAACCACAGCTGTTTATTTATGAGGGTTTACGAATGCTTCCACACTGGGAAATATATCACAGACAAGTGTTTACAGAAAAAATGACATGATTGATGACCAGTCAAGGACCATGGCCAATACATGTATCAAATATGGTATTAAAATACTTTCAGCAAAATCAATACGACTTGGACATCTGATAACTGATGACGAGACAGACAAGCCAACACATGGTTTGATGATAGTAGTATAACCCCCACAACACAATACAGTACTAGCTAAACAACCAATGCCCCTCTTTCTTCGAAACTCTCCTTTTTCTCAGAACCCTCTTAAATGGACCAATATGGATAGATGGTACAAAACAGATTTGAATTGATAAAATATACTTTATTACATAATTTTACAAATCATTAACTATATACAACTAAGAAATAACATTCCCTTTATTTTATTATCTCCAATCAATAATAGTGCAGCTTTTTATGGCTTGTAATTTATTTATCTTTAAAACAAAGGGTGAGATGGTTGAGAAAAGGTTTTATTTAATCAACATTAAAATTTTTTAATGCTTAAATATAACTGATTACCGGGTATGTACAATTCTCAAAAATTTATACAAATCAAATGCCTAATTCATTTTAAATATCATAGGATTTCAAAGAATAAATAATAAAAATCACAAAAATTTGAAAAGAAAAAAATAACATTGACAAAAAAAGGGCTGAACAGAAATCAATATTAATAAATATAAGATAAGTAAACCATCAACCATAAAAAAATCAACACAATTCTAGCCCAAATGTTTACTGTACCTCATATATACTAGTCTGGCAGTCAGTCAGTTAGGTTTATATAAATATATATTTTGATTGATATGGTATCGGTAATTAGCAGTTAAGCTTACAAAATTTTATGCTAAAACTACAACACTACATTCTATTTCTATATGCAGTGTCAACTGTGCGAATCTGATTTTAAGATTTATGTCTGCATCAAGTGCTTGAACCACTTCTAGGAACCATTTTACTTTTGGTAGACATCACTGATTTTGATAACACTACATTCTTATCAGATTGTGTGAAAAATTTGAGATCTATGCATCAATCCATTAACTAACATGTACAAAAACATTTCTAGTAGAAAAATGACTCCCCAGAATATAATTTTTTTAATAAATGCAGTATTTGTTGGGTTTTAAGAAAACTGTGTGGGTCTATTTAATAGAATAATATGAATTAAAGGTAATTATATTCCAAGTCAAAGTAATTGTTTAACAGGAAAGGTATTCCTGAAATTTATTCTAATACATGCTCTTAAATACACAAGTGAACAAATTCTGTAAACAATGGACATGCCCTACATGTACGTCTAAATACAATAAATGCAACATAAAAACAAATAATTAACATTTAAATTTGCATATTTATTCATTTTTTAAAAAGAGATAAAAACAAAGTGAAAGAGAGATAATAATGTAAATATATCTATCACAGTCAACAGAGCTGAAAAGAATAGTGAACTGTGGGGTACTTATTGGGACTTAATAATACATAAATTCATTATCAAACTCTTGATTGTTCAAGTAAATTACAGAAAATGGAAGAAACCTTAACTCGGGAATCATTCAAACATAACTATCATTGCGAACGTCATAATTAAAACTTTACGCATCTTAAATAAGAGAACTGAAAGTATTAATATATCGTCTATTCAACAAAGATTGGCTGTTTATAATCTGGTTAAAGTAATTTGGTATAAAATGGAGATGGCATGAAAGTAGGTTCTAATGCTGAATCTATTTAATATAACACAGTATTGTTTATTATTTGTACTATCATTATCATCTAACTTAAATGCAAGACTAAAACATATACAGAATAGGCACAAGCTTAGCAGAAATGTACAAATCTAATGCATAGAAGACTTGCTCAGATACTATAGTGCTACTTGACTGAATAGCTCTAATTCTGAATTCTCTCAATTCCATATATAGCGATAATTGAGTGAAAAAGAGGATTTTGGACTATAATTCATGCAATGTCAGTTTGGAACCTTGTTGAATAACAATCCAGCATCCTCATCAACACATTATCAGAGACAATTTGTTTGTCAATATGATCGATCGTTTTCAAGCTAATTACAATGTAACCTAAACCTATAAAATACTTTTAGCTACTAGGCAAGAGTGGAAATTCTTGGACTTTTCAAGCTTGCACTACAAATGTATATTATAGTTATATTTAAATGTTATTAATTTTAATCTGTAAAACATGATATTGTTCATAACAATATTTTCATGTTGTACTCCATACTTTTATATACAGCTTAAATTTCAACACAGAATGTTATAACCAATTCAAATAAAATCAATGATATTTTACAGCTCCTTCGTTTTACTTACTACTTCTACGGTCATTTAAACACTGGACCTGTAACTGATACGTTACGTCTATCCTGTGAAAGAGATAAAATTCTTTGAAAGTCTTTCAAGAAGATCACCTAACTGTTCTGTATGATTAATCTATAACAATCTTATATTGAGATGGTGCAAGCTTTAAAAGAGTACATTAACTCCAGAAATATCTCATTCCTTTATTCATTTGTACAAAACACTTAATGATTAGAAATTTACAATCATTGCTGAATTTCACTACCCCGGAGGTATATTATTTAGCTCTATATACACATAAGATTTTATAATTAACTGATTTATATATTCCTTACTTATATATATTTTCTACTGGTTAGTTCAGGTAATCTACAGTATAATATATAACAATCATCCATTACCCTAACTCATTTTGAACACATAGACAACCTTCCATATCTAGATATATTATACTCTTAACAAAAACTAACACTGGAAAACTGAGACTACAGACATCTTTCAAAGGACACAATCATCTGGCTGAATGACTGTTTCTTTAGCTTTTTTGTGGCTCTATTAAATACTGTCATCTGTATACAAGTCAAATGATAAATATTCAATTGTTATTAACTAGTGATCAAAAGTTCTATGATACTTTTTATTCACCATTCATTAATATAATGAACAGTTAAACAGGACTTATGTAAGAGGTAATTCTTTCTTTGGGTCTTAAATATTATATAAATTATTAATAGATTATTTATTAACATGACAATACCGTAATAAACTCTCGATGCCATCGGATGGCTCAGATTTTGAAGTTGATTAGAACAATTCGGCCATTTAATGATTTAATTCAAAAATGGAGAAGCGATGCTAAGACATGAATGACCAGTATGGTGATTACGATCAATTCATACATCTTGTCAAAACTACCACCATTGATAACTTCGCTCAAAATAAAGTAATTTGAATGAAATCTTCAATCTATTCATTTTGAAATATTACAGTGAGAATGGCCAGCTCTTTATCTAAATCTAACATAATGCCCCTTTAATTAATAATTATTATATAGTTAAATAATTTCTATTATAAATTATTTGACAAGTAAGATAGTACATGATCAACTTGTATAGAATGCACTCTCATATTTAAAGTAATTATTACATCCCTGTATATAACTACAACAATATCAAAACATAATACTTGTAACTATAGAATGCACTCTTATATTTAAAGTAATTATTACATACCTGTATATAACTACAACAATATCAATACATAATTTAACAGTATTTTGTACTGGTGCAAGTCAGTTTCCATATACTGTGCATGAACTTTTGGCACCATGAAATAATGGAATTAACCAATGGGTCAAAACAAAGACAAAATGCTACTTTTTGTTACAAAGCTAACCACTGAACCACATTTGACAATTCTGACTGACTGGGGTGTTTATTTAGAAATTGTGTTAGACATTGACATAAATTAGTCCCGACATTAATGCATTTGTTTTTCCGCAATATTTACATTTATTTCATATGAACATAATAATTTCAAGTTTTATAGTAGCCTGTAATATTCACTAGAGATACACATGGTATTATTTCCCAAGTGGTTCATATATTGTCACACTTTGGTGTTTGGTTTACATGTACCTTGTTGAGTCCAGTATAAATTTAAACTGTGTCTATTGTAAGGCAATAACAATAATAACAATTACATACAATGTAAATTAATATTACTATATCTATGTACCATATACTTAGTTGTTTCTATAAGTGACATTATTTTACAGTTTACACATGGTATAAGTAATGTATATGAAGTATAATAAATATATAATTTAGCTGAATTCTGGAGCCTTATACACAAAAATGTTCATACCATATCAATAGCCACTATAACATCATCTTCCTACAGTACCATGATTTTATCGAAAATAATTTATGATTTTATTGTTTAATATTATCCAAACTATTTCATGGTATTAATTAATGTTATGCAGACTCGATCACCATGATTTAAATCCAAACAATAGCATGATTTGTTATTACAGACTAAATTGCAATTTACTGAATGACTAAAGTTCATAATATAGCGCAGGTTACAACCCAGACTATTACATGATTCAAATCCAAACAATAGCATGATTTGTTATTACAGCCTAAATTGCAATTTACTGAATGACTAAAGTTCATAATATAGCGCTGGTTACAATCCAGACTATTTCATGTTATTAGCACTGGTTACAATCCAGACTGTTCCCTGTTATTAGCATTGATTACTACCAAGATTGCTCCATGATATTAGCACTGGTTACATTCCAGACTATTCCACTTTATTAGCCCCAGTTACAATCCAGACTATTTCATTATTATTAGCATTTGTTACAATCCAGACTATTCCATGTTATTAGCACTGGTTACAATCCAGACTATTCCATGTTATTAGCACTGGTTACAATCCAGACTATTTCATGTTATTAACACTGGTTACAATCCAGACTATTTCCGGTTGATTACAACTAAGTTGGCTTCATGATATTAGCATTGGTTATAATTCCAGACTATTTCATAATAGTGCACAATTCAGCCTATCTCTGTGATATTAACACTGATTACAATCCAAACTATTTCATGTTATTAGGACTGATAACAAACCAGATTATTTCATGATAGTGTCACTGACCACAATCCAGACTATTTCATGATAGTATCAATGATTGCAATCCAGACTATTCCAGAAGTACATTGATTACAATCCAGACTATTCCATGGTAATATCACGGATAACAATCCAGACTACTTCCCATTAGCACTGATTACAGTGCTCTGCTATCGGCACTATTTTACTGTTTAGATTATATACTATGATTACCAATAATTCATGAACTTAGCTGCACTGAAGCTACGTATTTATCAAGGTATTCATTCAAAATTTCATTATTTTAGCTTCACATGACTGATTTTAAAATAGTTTTCATAAATAAGACCCCAGTTTCCACATATATACATGTACTATAATTATTTATTACACATGCCGCAAGCCTTATTTATATATTTAATAAAACATATTCTAACCCAGTAATATGCAACAATCAAATAATATTATACTCCAAGACTAGTGGTAAAAACACTTCATGCGGGAATCTAATCACAATCATCCGGTGAAGAAATTAAAATATTTTTAAATTGTTTTTTGGTCTGCATAATTTTGTTCCATTTCTTCACCAAGAGTGTAGGACATTATGAAAAGTTGGTCACACAGGTACTATTGCAATGTATTGTAGCCAAGTTGGAAGGCTAATTTACAAAAAAGAAATACAAACACAATAAATGGAGATGGAGAATATTATCAAAATTCAGATTTTTTTTTTTTTCAAGATTCATTTTCATTCATTTCAATTCATCAAGGAATAAAAATAAATTCTACCACTACTACAATTAAAAAGGGATTATTCTTAATATAACAGCAACTGTATTTGCATGATACAATAATAGAGTGTTAAAACAAAGAAAATCTTAACACAAAAAATAAATCTATCAAAAAAATCACTTAATATAATATAAATAATTATAAGACAGAAAAATCTAACTATTCTGAAACTAAATCACACATTATTTCCCAACACTGATAACTAAATCACGTTATTTCACAGCATAGATAATGTTAAACCTATCCTGCTACATACACAGGATTACATGAGTATCCCAGAAAATAAGGAAGCATGTCCAAGAGACAAAGTTCTGATGGTCAATTTTCTTTTTTTAGACACTATGTAGAACTTTATACTCAAATCACAAATAAAACACTTTAGCTATCTGACCCATATATTTTCATCTATTCACATACACAGCTAATGTCTCCATGATTCCTTTCCACTAACTGGCCTGTCAATGTCTATTAAGCTTCTATGGATCATTTTGAAAGAATCAGTCAATCCTCTTTTAACCATTCACAATGAATTATTATAGCACCTATATTCACAATAGCATTTTATATTCTCCTACTTGTCATGGTACATCTCCTCTTAAATTGCTTATTTTATTATGTCACACTATATACACTAATCACATTTTATCACAAAAAGATATCTGGACAGCTCGACCAATCTTGTCGACTCTTACAGTTCCAATATTTACCAGTAAACTGATGTATCTGATTTCCAGTGATTGGATCTTTGTCCTTCTTGAACCATGTAGCTGTGTAAGGTGGAAAATCTCGGCCTGGAATGTAAAAGAAAATTTCAGCATGATAAATAACATCGTCAAAATATTAATCAAACCCTTTAGGACCTGTCTAAATTCAGCTCTGCTTCATTTCTTTTCTGAAAAACAAACCTACATTGACCCCCAAACCCTCCCCTCCCCCTTTATCTGACTCACGAATAAGTGCTCTAATATAAATGATGTCCACCCCAAAATATTGGTTTTACCAATCCACTTAAGTGAGAGAGAGAGAAATGGGGTTTAACTTCCACTCAACACAAACTCGGTCATTTTGGGACTAACATTCGGTTCAACTGCGACAGAGTTCAGCTTATGTCAAGATATTTCTGTTCATGATTCATTAATAACCTACACTTAATCATCATATCATGTTTTTATCCACAGTGTCGTTCAACCCACCCACTCAGTTCTGTGGGTTATTTGTTTAAATGTAAGTGCTGCAATGGTCCCTTAATACAAAATATTTTACCTTCTGCTGCAGCCTTTTCTGCTTCCGCTTCCCGTTTTCGTCGAGATGCTCTCTGTTTTTCTTCCAGTAGTAACTTACTATTATTAGATTCATCCCACTTTCCATCCTCCATCAACCTTTGATCAGGCCTAAGACGTGAATCTGTGGGAGCTACACCATCTTCTGGTTCATTTAACTGAACAGCAAGTTGGGTAAAATTATAATATTTCTCTGAACCTGGTCTGAAATTACAAAACAATCTGTTATTAACTGAAAATATCTTGTACAAATGGAAAAATAAAATGATTGTAAAATAATGAATGTCAACTAACTCTTACCATGCAAAATGGGACGAAATCTGAGGTCCTATGTGTACTTGCTACTTAGAATTTGAAATAAGATTAAGTCATAGCACTGCTGTCTAGGAAATATTTTCCTTGTAGTACACTGCACATCGTATGCCCATCTTCATTAGCCCACAATACCACTTTTTTTTATTGAGAAATTTAGAACAATAAAATCATTTTATGTCACTTCATTTTGATTCTATGACAAATATTAAATGTGGGATCTAAGGAAGGAATAAGCTACTCAATCGCTTCTACTTACGGAAGAGGTCGACATTTCCACAAAACTTTATGCGGTCCTGTTTCGAAGACTGGCTTTCCTTTATTAGATTCCTCTACATGTAATATCTGTGCTCCTTCCATCTGACAATCCCAAGTTCCTGTTAATACCCACTTTGGTTTATTGGTACTGTCTGTTATAACACCTGTTACCTATAGCAAACATGAAAGTAATTCAACTTTATAGACTTGGTGTAACCAATGTCTGTAATATCCCTGTATTTCTCTCATCATTTATTATTTGCTTGTGGACATTGGGGCCCTCCTGCACTATAATGCAAATCCACAGATATTTAGCTGCTTGTAAAATAATGGCTATGATCACAAAATCCAGACTATTAATTCACACATCTGATCTAACAAAATTAAGAATTTGTCGGACCAGTTGAGTTCATTTGCAAGGAAACTTCATCTACCAGGAATTCTGGTAATGTCCCACCTAACCATAACCAAGGAAAGAAGAACAACGCCAAAAGCTTGTTTTATAAATCATGCCTTTAAACTTTAATGACCACATGCAGGCCACAAAATTTCAAATTTTGGCGTAACCAGAAAAATGGTTGCGGGTTTATGCTCTGCGTAACCATTTTCTTTGGTTACGCCAGATGATCATTGCGTAACCAATTGGTTACATAAAATGGTTGCGCTGTTTTCATGTTTTATCCAGATTTAAATGGTGCTATTATTCATTTCCACTTGCAGTGAATGTATTTTTTAAAGAAATAACTTGACTAACTTTATTCTTTTATATTTAATATTATATTAGGTTAAGTGTTAATGACCACGGTGTCCCCATTTAAACAATATAACATTAGAAAAAAAATGTTCCACTTCACTAAATCCCTACATTTTAATAATGAGGGGAATCGGTTCCAAAAATTACTAATGGATTTTCGTTTTTATATTATATCTGACCTTTAAAAACCAGGAATGGTAGCTACCACATTGTTTTCGGTCACTGAAGACTACATGCGTACTTCATATTACACTTGTCACTTGCAATCATTCATCCAAGCACGTAGCATGCGATAGCCTAACTCATAGGTATAGCGACTGATTGACAAACAGTGTTTATTATAAACCTCGGCACTCTATACACAAAGTCTCAAAAGGAAACAGAATAGTTTGATGTCATGAAATAATATTTAAATAGACAGGAGAGTAAAATCGTTTACATTATCTCTCGAGCGATGCCGGGGAGGGGGTCAAAGTTGACGACATACATACGGGTCATTGGTACTACAGCATGGCTATAGTAAAAACTGAAAGGAACACGTGTAGTAAATTCTTTGGAAATATAGCCGACATGTTAAATAGTCAAACTCATTTCTCATTTTGTGTTTGAAAATCCAAAGGTACGCTTTCAAAATTTATGGCATAACTAATCATTTAAAGAATTAGGAGTGAGGGGCATTTTTAAATCAACGTGCTTGCAACTGGTCAATACGACAATAGCCTACGTGGTGTCAAAAACCAGTAAAATGGAGAAATGAAATGCCAAGAATGAATGAATGGAGTTTGTGCTATAATACAAATAATTTAGACCCGTGTCACAAAGTGATCCTGTATAAAAATTGATCAAATGTGAATAAATCTGTTAATGAAATTTGTTAACGTAACCGATATTTCAATTTGCGTAACCAGGAAATCGGTCGCAGGTTTTTGAGCTAGGGCAACCGCACGTAACCGATTGGTATCGTTCGCGTCAAATTTCGTGGCCTGACATGGACTATGTATCCACAATAAATATAAATATTGCACACTGACATCTGATTAATAATCCTTGGAATCAGACAGCTTGACCATCGAATCTACCTATGAAATCTACATTTCAATTCAAATACAAATATACACTTCACTGGAATTATCTCATGATCTTGGCATTAAAAGACAATATTGGTGCCAGTCATTATCACATATGTGATAGAACTGGTTAAACACATTCCAAATATAATTTTAACACAGAGATCATTGCTACGATAGCCGAGTAATACAGGTTTCCTGAACCGGAAGTGACGAACGCCAAAGGAAAACACGTTTCATCTCTCTATATAACTGACTGATGTGACAAGTGATAACGGATATACGGGCGAATTTCTGCTCACTAATAATTCCTTCGAAGACCAAAAGTTGTTGTGTGAGATTGTGAGAGGATATCTGACAATTCATAAAAAGAATTGACTGCCACTAGATAAGTGAACACGAAAAAACCCTTAAAAAGCCTGTGCATTACCATGTTTTTATAAGGTATAGAATGAATATAAACAAGGGAATGTACGGACTACTTCTATTTTTCTCGTGTTCTCTTATCTAATGACATTCAGTTACTTCATTGAATTGTCAGGTATCCTCTTACAGTCCCATATAACAACTTTTGGTCTTCGAAGGAATTATTAGTAAGCAGAAATTCGGCCGTGTATCTGTTATCACTCGTCACATCAGTCAGTTATATAGAGAGATGACTCGTGTTTTCCTTTAGCGTTCGTCACTTCCGGTTCAGGAAACCTGTATTACTCGGCTATCGTAGCAATGACCTCTGTGTTAAAATTATATTTGGAATGTGTTTAACCAGCTCCATCACATATGTGATAATGACTGGCACCAATATTGTCCTTTAAATGATCCAACCTAAATCATAATTTCACTAACCTTCCTTGGTGTTTCTCTAGAGAAGTAGCTGTAGGCAGAGTATTTCAGATGACATTTATCACCATTTTTATGATTAGTAATATCCATTTCACCGTGATTATCTACCCATAGTTTACCAACTATTATATTATGTACCGTTGTTGTAACTTTACGCCAGGTATAATGATTACCAGTTTTATGAAAGATTAAATGGGCTATACCTGAAATATCAAAATATCAAAAATTATTTAAGTTCGTAATAGAGGTTAAAGTTTTTAACAGACCTTTCCCAATTTTGGATAAAAGCATTCGGGTCATGAGAGGACAAACCGTATGGATAATTAGCGTTCTATGACTGCCCGTCACAGAGTTACCTCCACTTTGCCGAAAACCTTCTGAACGCAATAGAGACTACATTTTTTAGCAGATTCGTTTCAAACCTGAGGTGAAGAATAAGGGTCATGACAGGACGAACTCTCTGAATGGTGGCATCTTCTTTGTAGGGAATAGATTGGTTTGTTCAAATTAAGCAAGATCAATTATTTTTGTGTTTAGATAATATTGTATGTCACTGAAGTTTCCATATCAAAGAAAATGTTTACCAAGGGGAATAATCTGTAAATATTTTCCACGGAATTTACTGGTCATGGTGAACTCTTGCCAGCATGTCCATCCACGTCCTTCTGTATGCATTGCTAATGCTGGAGGATGATGTGAGACCTAAAATACAAATTTATCAATTAATTGATCCCTTTCTCAAATCATTATTTATGTGGTTGTCATACCCATTTTTAAAACAGCATGTAACATAGACATTGATTATGATGACTTTCAATTATTTCCATTCTCAGCTTATTCTCGTATTAGATATCGTTACTAATTGGCCTTGCTTGTCAAAAAAAATTTTTTTTTTCTCTTTCAACATCAAGATTTTCAGTTCTTCTGATAAGGTATTTTTGAATTCAGATTTACTCGAAACATCAATAATTGTGTAATGCCTACCCATACTAAAATTATTTTCACATATTTTGATTTTGTTATTAATATTTTCTTATTACCTGCTCAGCTATATTCCTCCAGCCTAAATCATCTAATCTATCACATTCATACGTTTCTCCAAGGAGAGGATTAAAGGGTTTCCCTGTTCGTAACAAGGTAGTGGAAAATGCGGAAATAGTAAAGGCAGCAACCCAGGCCATTTGTTCAGCTGAGTCGTCACATTTGACTGCTTTCTCAAGACAATCTGCATATTCAAATTCTTCAGTGATTCGTTGCAACATTGATAAAGGCTCGCTGAAATTCACCTGTAAAATTGATAAAATAACATATTGTTGTTTTCCAATGGATACAAGACGCTAATGAATATTAAAACTAAAGACCTCACACATTGATGGCAAAGAAGAACAAGCAAACAGTGAGGCTGATGTCCTCCGCCGAAATCCCAAAATAAACAGATGACACATATTAATTAATTGCACATTCATCTTCATCAAAAGTATCGAGTAATCAAACTAATTATCTTTGCTTAGTCTAAGCATAAAATGACTCAGGTTTTGAAGTACCTGGTAGTGAAACTATACACTAAGTTTCATCACTCTCCATCAGTTAGAATCAATGTTATCTTGTCCCAAAGCATCAACCAATGAAATTGCTTAGCTCTAACGGGGATATTAATCATTGAACTCAGTCCAGACATTCACCTAATGAACATCTATACTTTAATAAAAAGCAGAGTTGTTATGTTCAAAAATCTTGACCAATCAAATTGCTTATCGCTACTTAGCCTAAGCAGAAATTTAGTCTTAGTCAATCTACTGATATAATGAATATATACTCAGAATTTCATCGCTCTCACCAAATAAAACCAAAGTTATCGTGTTCCAAAGTCTCAACCAATCAATTTGCTTATCTCTGCTTAGCCTTAGTGGAAAATGCGCATCATCAAATCCTGTCAAGGCCATCACCTAATAGACACTTACATCAATTTTGAAAATTCTACCTCAATTAGAACCAGCGGCTGCCAGGCAGAATACGCCCACATTTTCAAGAGATGGATAGAGAACAAGCTAACAAGAAAGTGATTTTTCCTACAATCAAGGGCCATAATTCAGGAAATTACAATTCGATATGCGCAAATATCAAAAGGAACTGAACGAACGGCAGCCATTTTGTCTGTCAATTTTGGGCCGATTTTCACGAAATTCGAACACAGTCGTCCTCAGGGTGTAACGGTGATATAATAATACGTTTTTTTAAATCAGATAAAAATTATGACCTCTATAGGATCCACAAGCTAAAAATGCAATTTTCGTACAATCAGGGGCCATAATTAGGAAGTTACGGTCCGATATGTGCGAATATCGAAAGGAACCAAGATCTTTGGGTTATAAACTTATATTTCAAGTTTCAACAAAATCGGATAAAAATTGTGACCTCTATAGGGTCCACAAGCTAAAAACGCGATTTTTCGTACAATCAGGGGCCATAATTCAGGAAGTTATGGTCCGATATGCACGAATATCGAAAGGAACTGAGATCTTTGGGTTATAAACTTACATGAAAATGTGGGCGTATAAAAAGAGTTATTGTGTTATTGTCTCAACCAATCAAATTGAAATCTCTATTTTGCCTAAGCAGACAATGGTCAGCATCCAACTTTGTTAAGGTAACGAAACTGTACACAAAGTTTCACCACTATCATTCAATTAGATTCAAAGTTGTCAAGCTCCAAAGTCTCGACCAATCAAATTGCTTATCGCTAGGCTTACTTGAACCCGAAAATGCTCATTTTTAAACTTAGTCAAGGTATTGATGTGATGAAACTATAAACCAAGTTTCATCATGCTCACTTAATTAGAACCAAAGTTATTGTGTCCCAAAGCATCAGCCAATCAAATTGTTTATCTCTGGTTACCCCATCTTCGAACTCCATCAAGGCATTCACCTAATGAACGCCTCCACAATGTTTGAACATTCTACCTTAATTCGAAGGAGAGTTATTGTGTTCCAAAGTCTCCACCAATCAAATTGCTTATCACTCTGCTTACTCTGAGCTGAAAATGCTCATTAACGAACTTAGTCATGGTATTGATGTAATGAAACTATACATCAAGTTTCATCACTCTCACTTAATTAGAACTAAAGTTATTGTGTCCCAAAGCATCAAGCAATCAAATTTCCTATCTCTGCTTACCCTAAGCAGAAAATGCTCATCTTCGAACCCAATCAAAGCATTTACCTAATAAACACCTAAACCATGTTCGAACATTCTAGCTCAATACGAAGGAAAGTTATTTTGCCCAAAGAGTGTGATGGACCGACAGACAGACGGACCGACAGACAGACCCATTTAAATGAAGTGGGGTTTAACATCCTACTTTTCTACTGGGCTAATGAACACAGGCATATGCCATGCATTGTACAACAAAGCTCAAAACAGTGGGATCAACCCAGCTCGCTTAGCCACCGTGGCTCCCATAAGGTATTAAACCAAATAGAACCTCAATAAAAATGAATTTACAGGTGGTATAAATTATTGTAAAATGTACAATATTGTCAGTAACACTAGCTGTTTGTTAATATTATTATTCTGTGATGAAAATATAAGTCTTGTCTCCTACCTAGATTATGAATAGTGTATTTTATTACATTGACAGTGAAGCTGATAATACTATAACAAAAGACCTCCATATAATCTCCTATTACTAATTAAACTTTTATTTATATACCATATACACATAATCATCAAATACAACTAGATAATAATAGATTATCTCTTTATCAACACACGAACAAATATAATAACAGGAAACATTGTCACATAACAGGAAACATTGTCACGTTTATCTCAAAATAAACTAAAATCATGACATCAAATGAAATGGGATTTAATTTTATACTAGTTAAGAGAGAGAGAGAGAGAGAGAGAGATGGAGTTTAACATCCACTCGAAACAAACTAGGTCATTTCGGGACTAACATATGGTTTAATTCTATTTCAATAATTCGCTTGCGCGTAGGGGTCTTTAGCAGTGGGAGGAAACCGGAGGACCCGGAGAAAACCCATGAGGTTGGACAGGCGACCCTACTCCTTGTCACGTACAACCGGGGATTCGAAACCACGCCAGTCCATCTAGTTAAGACTAGTCCTACTTATATTTTCATTTCCAACTGTCAGGGGATCTTTAGTGTATAAGTGTACTGTCTAAATGAATAGGCACTTGCCGGGTTCTCTCCTTGATCTTGTTCTATTGACAAAGGGGAGAGCAAGCTGGGGAAAATATTGATGAACAGATACAAAGAGTATAAGAAAGCTGACTGAAGAGGAGATTTGATAGATAATTAAAATGTTCTGAATGTCAACTAGGAAATTGTCATAATTCAAAAAGAAATCACTATAATTTAAAGACTGAAAACTGTAAGAAGTGTTTTATAACTATGCATTAGTATTAATAAAAATTTACCGGCATAGGTATTTTGGACAGCTCTTTTCCTATACAGTTCTTCATAATGCTCCATAAGTTAAGACTATAATTTGGCCTCTCAGGTATTCTAGTTCGACGAACACGTTTCGGTGATACCATTTCACCGCCGGTATTTAATGAATCAACAGATGTCAACTGACGAACTTTGAGCTTATCTTGGCTAGATGTTCGCTTGTGTTCTGACTTAAGAATTTCTTTCTAAAAATAAAAATATTCACAAATTATAAACTGGACTCTTTCTATAAATCATGTGGTTTATGATACCAACAGCATATTCTAGTTTACGACGTGGTCTGACATCATCATCCAATATATAGGGATTTTACATTAATGCTTGTTTAACATGTCAATCTTATCCCATACCAGGGCTTTTACTTCAAAATTTTGCCAGATTGTCAATTACTGATGTATTTTGTTGACCTCAAAGTTTACAGCAAATTTGAGCATTATTCTAATTTCTAATATTTTAAGGCATTTTTACATATAGGAACTATGACAGATAAATTCTCTAGCCAGTCCATTTCACTGACAGTCAGTCAAGATTGACAGAAATAACTGCAATAAGAGCCCCGTTCCCCGTCAATAAGGTCATTATAGTCCTAGAGGAATATTTTTTCCCAAACAGATTTATTTGTATTGTATGATAAATTAGTTTATATTTGATATTATCATCTGATGATTTAATATCCATCCAATCATCACATTGATGTAAATTCATTTCATTGTGGTTTGTCCGAAAGATCAAATCATTAAATGAGTAACATCGATACACTGTATCTATAGGAACTTAAATATACAGCTGTATTTCATACAGTACAACTGTTCAAAATGTAATACTAGATATCAACCATCATACACATAAACAATTTGCAACCAAAGGAATATTCTAACTTACCTGAGTTTTTTGGGGTGAATCTGTTTTGGCAGTGAAGACTCTGGCTTCTGATATGGTATTTTCGGATTCGGATTCACTCGAGACATCATTTGTGTTATAACTCTCCATACTAAAATCACTGTCAGTTCTTCTAGTGAAAAAAATAAATAACCATTAACATTTATCTACAGCACCATAAGATTAAAATATATTAACATTGATCAATAGCACCATAAAAATAAAATATCCATAGCATCATAAAAATCTATTTCTTTCTTACTACTTATTTTCCTTCTATTACAATTACTTATGCAATCTATTTCTTGAACAAAAAATTAGTTTTTTAAAAATTGCTTTGGGGTAAATCTAAGACGGAAAAGCAGTTTTACACTATAATAGAATGCCCCTCAGCGTATTACCACAAGAAATAGACCATCTTCAAATGATGTGTAAAGAACTATAAAGACTAGCAAATGAGAATTATAATCATATAAATGTAACAACAACAAATGACAAGATCATAGTTTATTTTTTAGCGAGCGTCAGGAGAAAATGAGAAGTAAATCACAGACAGAAGTTCGAGGTACATAAAATATCTTGTTTCAGTTAATACACATTTATCACATTACTTCCTGATACCAAACACTATTAATACATAAGACAATTATAAAAATCAATGATAAACCATCCTGAAGATTTAATGAGAATGCTGATTTATGATCTAGACAGTATATAGAATGGAATGGGGTTTTATTGTCTTCTCAACACAATTCTTCAGTAATTTTGGGGTGGTGCAGAGGGACTTCATATTGTCAAGGGACCTACCAGTGTCTATGAAATCTTGCACCTCACGATTTATATGAACTATTAACACCACTACAACCAAATCATTCTTTGCTATCTCATAAGCAGAACACTTGTTTCACAGTTTGGTGACATAAGTTTAAGTGTACCGGTACTAGCTACTAGATTGTCGATTGAAAAACTTTCAAGATCCAAGACTGTGTAACCCTCAAATCACAGTTGAAGACTTGCATATTTTGGGAATGCTAAGAGAATTATATGTTCTCGACTACGTTTATACATGTAACTATTTTCTCATCATGAGTTGTTAGTGCTTTTGAACATCATCATTATTAAATGCATAGACAAATTGAACGTGTAGGTTTAAAAATTTCAACCTATCATTAAAGACTGAAGAAAGACTGTGTAGTGTGTAAATAAAGACTAAGAATAAACTGTGTACCTGTGTAATTTTTCTGGTTTTGGCGGTAATGCAACTTTAAATTCATCCTCCACTTGGTGATCCAAAGCATCAAAAAAATCTTCATCATCTGATGGGTTTGACCCTGAAAATAGATTTCATATACTTTATAATTATCTAATTTCATACAAAGTGTTATGTCCATTAACAACATTGACAGACAGCTTTTGTAAGGTTCATACAATATAGGAAATTGAAATATACCATATATCAAACACAGCTTTTAGCACTGACTAGAAGCCAAACCATAACCAATAGACTAGAAGCCAAAACATAACCAACAAGCCAACAGTGGGGCTGATGTCCCCCGCTGAAATCCCCAAATAAATAGATGACACATATTAATTAATCGCATATCTATTTTGTTTTCAAAAGTATCGAGCAATCAAACTGATTATCAACTATACACTCAGTTTCATCACTCTCTATCAGATAGAATCAAAGTTATCTTGCCGAAAGCATCGACCAAGGAAATTGCTTATCTCTACTTAGCTTTAGCTCGATATGTTAATAATTGAACTCAGTCAAGACGAACATCTACATCAAGGTTAAACATTCTACCTCAATTAGAAGCAGAGTTGTTATGTTCCAAAGTCTTGACCAATCAAAATGCTTATTGCTTCTTAGCCTAAGCAGACGATTCTCATCATCGAACTTAGTCAAAGTATTGATGTAATGAAACTATAGTCTATACAGGGACAATAAGCATGAACATTTACTCAATTCGAAGATCAACCAATCAAATTGTTTATCTCTGCTTACCATAAGCGGAACGGACAGACAGACAAACAGACAGACGGACGAACCCATTTTAATAGTTCCCTGCTTTCTTCGAAAGGCGGGGGACAATCAAAGTAGGAGAGTTATTGTTTTCCAAAGTCTCGACCAATCAAATTGCGTATCGCTCTGCTTACCCTGAGCAGAAAATGCTCATTATCAAACTTAGTCAAGGTATTACTGTAATGAAACTATACACCAAGTTTCATCAATCTCACTTAATTAGAACTAAAGTTATCGTGTCCCAAAGCATCAACCAATCAAATTGCTTATCTCTGCTTACCCTAAGCGGAAAATGCTCATCTTCGAACTCCATCAAGGCATTGACCTAATCAACACATACACCAAGTTTGAACATTCTAGCTCAATTAGGAAGAGAGTTATCGTGCCCCAAAGTATCAACCAATCAAATTGCTTATCTCTGCTTACCCTAAGCGGAAAATGCTCATCTTCGAACTCCATCAAGGCATTGACCTAATAAACAGATACACCAAGTTTGAACATTCTAGCTCAATTAAAAGTTATCGTGTCCCAAAGCATCAACCAATCAAATTGCTTATCTCTGCTTACCCTAAGCGGAAAATGCTCATCTTCGAACTCCATCAAGGCATTGACCTAATCAACACATACACCAAGTTTGAACATTCTAGCCCAATTAGGAAGAGAGTTATCGTGTCCCAAAGCATCAACCAATCAAATTGCTTATCTCTGCTTACCCTAAGCGGAAAATGCTCATCTTCGAACTCCATCAAGGCATTGACCTAATAAACACATACACCAAGTTTGAACATTCTAGCTCAATTAGGAAGAGAGTTATTGTGTCCCAAAAAGTGTGACGGACAGACAGGCGGACGGACAGACAGACGGACCAATCAAATTGCGTATCGCTACGCTTACCCTGAGCAGAAAATGCTCATTATCAAACTTAGTCAAGGTATTACTGTAATGAAACTATACACCAAGTTTCATCAATCTCACTTAATTAGAACTAAAGTTATCGTGTCCCAAAGCATCAACCAATCAAATTGCTTATCTCTGCTTACCCTAAGCGGAAAATGCTCATCTTCGAACTCCATCAAGGCATTGACCTAATCAACACATACACCAAGTTTGAACATTCTAGCTCAATTAGGAAGAGAGTTATCGTGCCCCAAAGTATCAACCAATCAAATTGCTTATCTCTGCTTACCCTAAGCGGAAAATGCTCATCTTCGAACTCCATCAAGGCATTGACCTAATAAACACATACACCAAGTTTGAACATTCTAGCTCAATTAAAAATTATCGTGTCCCAAAGCATCAACCAATCAAATTGCTTATCTCTGCTTACCCTAAGCGGAAAATGCTCATCTTCGAACTCCATCAAGGTATTGACCTAATCAACACATACACCAAGTTTGAACATTCTAGCCCAATTAGGAAGAGAGTTATCATGTCCCAAAGCATCAACCAATCAAATTGCTTATCTCTGCTTACCCTAAGCGGAAAATGCTCATCTTCGAACTCCATCAAGGCATTGACCTAATAAACACATACACCAAGTTTGAACATTCTAGCTCAATTAGGAAGAGAGTTATTGTGTCCCAAAAAGTGTGACGGACAGACAGACGGACGGACAGACAGACGGACCAATCAAATTGCGTATCGCTACGCTTACCCTGAGCAGAAAATGCTCATTATCAAACTTAGTCAAGGTATTACTGCAATGAAACTATACACCAAGTTTCATCAATCTCACTTAATTAGAACTAAAGTTATCGTGTCCCAAAGCATCAACCAATCAAATTGCTTATCTCTGCTTACCCTAAGCGGAAAATGCTCATCTTCGAACTCCATCAAGGCATTGACCTAATCAACACATACACCAAGTTTGAACATTCTAGCTCAATTAGGAAGAGAGTTATCGTGCCCCAAAGTATCAACCAATCAAATTGCTTATCTCTGCTTACCCTAAGCGGAAAATGCTCATCTTCGAACTCCATCAAGGCATTGACCTAATAAACACATACACCAAGTTTGAACATTCTAGCTCAATTAAAAATTATCGTGTCCCAAAGCATCAACCAATCAAATTGCTTATCTCTGCTTACCCTAAGCGGAAAATGCTCATCTTCGAACTCCATCAAGGTATTGACCTAATCAACACATACACCAAGTTTGAACATTCTAGCCCAATTAGGAAGAGAGTTATCATGTCCCAAAGCATCAACCAATCAAATTGCTTATCTCTGCTTACCCTAAGCGGAAAATGCTCATCTTCGAACTCCATCAAGGCATTGACCTAATAAACACATACACCAAGTTTGAACATTCTAGCTCAATTAGGAAGAGAGTTATTGTGTCCCAAAAAGTGTGACGGACAGACAGACGGACAGACAGACGGACAGACCCATTTTAATAGTCCCCTGCTTTCTTCGAAAGGCGGGGGACAATTAGCTCCTATTGTTACCAACTTAACCTCTGTGGCTGAAATGGTGGTCTAGAAAGAAGGGAATTATTAGCTATATGAATTTTCCAAAAAAAAACAACCCAGAAATGTTATCAGGCGTTCTAGAAATAGTAAACATACCCTGCCTACTTATATATAACACATTCAATGTTATTTATAAGGTCGGTAGCTGGTTCTTGAAATGAAATGGGGTTTAACGTTGGCTGTTAAAGATGCCTTTGCCCTTCCCATGTACAAACTGGGTGATTTGATATATTTGGACTAAAAACATATTCAAACTAATTAATTGATCAAAAGCAGACAGACCTAATCGTCTGGCTGGCACCCTCTCGGTTATGTCCTGCGCACGCTCCATGGATGTTTTTCAATGAATCCAGTAATTTTCTAGTAAGATTTGGTGTCTCGACTTTCCATATATACCATGTCATATTTTTATTGGAAATAACCATCCTATAAATACTTTTGTGGGAATGTGTCTTTAACTATTTGGTCATCCAAGATTTGTGTGTTGACTGTACAATTTATGTCCGTCAGTACTACATGATTCCCAATATTCAGAAATAGACAAGATGAGAAAGTAAATTACTCGAACAACATACATTGAACAAACATAAATAATTCATGACACGTGTTACATATAGGAAATCGCAACATATGGTGACAGACGACAAACATTGTCTTTAACAATCCACCATAGCTGTCCCACAGTGCAATGTCACACAGTCGTGCAGCTTAACTTATCAAACTTGAAAGTTATTAAAGAGATGTATAACGTGTAACTGTAATAAGCAATACCCACAATTGGCAACCACCAATTGACTGGCAATGACAAAATACAAGTGTGTAAAAGTAGGTAATTCTATAATAATGGCTTTCACACTCCGTATTCAAATGTTCACACAATTTTTTCTTCTTTTCAATAAGGCATTAACAACCAAATATAACTTTACTCAATTATTGAAACATTTCCAAGACAGTTCAATGAATTTTTGATTAGGCCACATGTTGAATCTTTAAACTAACCATTGTACACACCAATAGTAACAATTCTCTTTGATCATTATGGCTATTATGAGCCATAAAAATGTGACTGTAAAATATTCTTTGTTCTTTTATTTAATATACTATTCAAAAAAAGTAGGGGATATTTGATTTTGGGGGCATAATACTAAAATATGCAAATGACTACGAAAAAAGTCACTATAGAACCTAACAGAAGAAACATTTCCAATTACATGTGACGCCTAAACGCACCAATAGCTACCGCATGGAATGCAGGTGATGCTTGGGATCATCATGGGGGTCCAACCCAAGATTTGCACGACTCTGACTTTGAATGTTACAGTCATTGTGGCATTGAATTCCAGGGTGGAAACATCAGTTTAATTGTTTTAGTGACCAGAAAACAAATTTTGATATGCGTCGGCTTTCCCAAAATGAAAGGTTACGTGCCCTTGGCATGCTACAGATCGGCACAACACAGGCGGTTGTGGCGCGGACGATGAATGTTTCTCAGTCTGTCATAAGCAGGCTATGGTCCAGATACCGTGATACACAATCTGTACAGGACAGACCACGCTCAGATAGACAACTCAAGCCCAGGATCGATTTATCCGTACCTTGGCCTTGAGAAATCGTGTCATCACAGCAAATCAGATCAGCGCTCGTCTTCAAACAGACACTGGTGTGAGAGTGAGTGGCCAGACGATTCGGAATCGACTGCATAGGGGTCACCTTCGCGCCCGACGTCCTCGCGTGATCCCTTGTTTGAGAGATCATCACATTCAGGCAAGACGTCGTTGGTGTAGGGATCGTCAACACTGGGATAATCGACGCTGGAGCAATGTGATGTTTTCAGA